AGGTTTTTCAATCCGCCTCCTCTGTCTGTCGCATTGTCTGCAGGCGGCGCACAAAAAATGCATTTTGTTGCCTGGAAAAAAGTTTTTCTTCCATGTGGATTGAAAAAGGGAGCATACAAAAATATAAAAAACAACAGAAAAGGATGGTAGTTCTTGGAAGTAGGAGATTGTATACCCTTACAGTTCAGAAATAGCTTTAAAATTTTTTAAAAATATATTTAAAGGCTTCTTTAAACACTCAAGTTTGTGTCAAAATGGCTGGATTAACGCGTCTGGTTATATTAATCAATAACAAATATTTTAGAGACTTCTTTACATGCTAAAGTATGACCATATTATGTGTTATAAGCATGAATATAGTGTTTATAATTTGTTTTGAAAGTTTTTATTAAAGCCTGATCATATTTTGTTCAATAATCATGTACATTGCTAAAACTCCTCGTCTGGTGATTCTAATCAACATTTACATATTAAAATATGACCATATTTTGTATCAAAATCAGCTAAATTAACTTGTCTGGTGATGCTAATCAACAAAAGTCCTTAAAAAGGAATATATACCAAATAAAATGTCGTAAAAATGGACATGGCTAGATTAACTCGTCTGCAAATCAATAATACTCATATATTTCCATATTCCCTGCATTCCCAAATTTATAAAAACCCTGCAAGGGTATCAAAATACGAGAGAGACCTACCAAAAAAGAAAGGAAAATCAATGAACAACAACATTGCATGAGGGTTGTATCCCTTGCATAGAACGTCATTATGGCCAACGTAATCTTCATCATCATCATCATCATAGCCAGTGTGGGGCAGCATCAGGAGCACTGGAGTTGGCTGCTGTCATCATTATGAAACACAACAACCCTCGACTGCAGCACTTGGCCCGCAGAAAGGGGGGTGGCGGCAACGGCAACGGCAACGACGACGGCAGCGTGTGCAACCCCCAACACATACAAAGTGCAGAGCACACACAAAAAACCCCCTTTTTGGCTCACTCTTCCTGCCTCTCCTCAATCTCTCTTCCCTTCGTCGAGTGAGGGAAACTCAAAAAAGGAGCAGCACAAACTTTCACTTTTTTGCATGCACACACACACACATACACAGAGAGAAGAGAAAGCAGAGGAAATCCAGACTAGAGAAGGGGGGATGGGATCGATGGAGGAGTAGGTTTTTGGGGGGGCCGTCATGCGGCATTTCATTTATAGTCGGTTAGTGCAATGCGCCAAAAAGCAGACAACACATATGTATAAGCCATAAAACAGAGACAGCAACAGAATGCCTGAGGAGTTAGAAAGAGAAAGACGGGGAAAGCTAGAAAGAGAGAGAGAGAGAGTGGCAACTGCAGTTGCAACCCTTTTTCGACACGATGCAGCAATAATTCTCAAACAACAAATAAGAAAAACAAGCAAGTAAAACACTTTTTTTGTTTGTCAAAATGCAACTCTGCAAAAACAAAACTTTACTTTGGCATAAAGAGAAATTTGAGGGGTTTTAAAAAAAATACAGAGACAGAAAATGTTATTTAAAGTGATCATAAATCATAAATAGGGGTTGCCAGGATATTAATAATAATTTAGAAAAATATTCGAAATGAAACAGAGCTTAAAACAGTATACAGTAACGAAGCTATTTCTTTAACATTTTTAACAAAAACATATAACATACATTATCAAATTTTAAGTCATTTACGGATTTAGGAATCACTAGGATATTTAAACCCCTTAAAAATGCGTCTAAAAGTATGCTATGAAATTTTCTAGTTACCAAATTCAGCATAAATGTTAATTGTAATGCAAGAAACTTATATCTTTGAGTAAATTAATCAGCCATTGCATTATTTTCTCAGTGCACCTCAAGGGGTGGCACAAGCCACGACTAAGTCAAAGAGGGATGGTGAAAACTCCAGAGCTTGGAAAAACTTTTGCAGCTAAAGTGCGGTCGGGGGCAATTTCCATTGCACAGAAGGCTATGGGCTACGTGCACGAGTGTAGATAAAAATATTTTAATTTATTTCACATTGGCCGACTGCAGAGGTAGAATTCAACAAGAGAGAAGGAGAAGTAGAGAGAGATAGAGAGAGAGAGAGCGTGGCAGACTTTTACCACCCACCCCCTCCCGTTGGCATAGACACTGCACATTGGCTTTCAGCGAGAGGCTTTCCTTTTTCCATCCATCACATATGCTGCCGAGTCTGGGCTTTCCCATTTTCCTCGTTTGCCTTCATGCCTGCATTTGTCGCATGCAGCAGCTTTTCCCTCCCCACCAACTCCCAACATGAGTTTTTCATTTTATTTATCTTTGATAAAAGGTTTTAGTTTTATGTCTGTGTGAGTTTTTGCTATCCATCAATAGTTGGATCAGACTAAAAGGTTTTTCTTCTTTTTATGTTAAGAGATTTTATTTATATGTTAAAGGACGACAAGAGGTGTCCCTTGGCTTTGAGTTAATAATTAATAAATATAATATTTTACTATAAACTATATAGTTTTTAATTTTATTTATTAAATTTTTTTGGGGAAAAAAAAAAAATAATAATGAAATTTTATTTATTAAATACCGTAAAATGTAGTTTATATTGCCTTTTTATTTATACAAATAATTGTTATTGAAAATCGAACTTCTGTTAAAGGATTATTTCCACCAAATAAATATTTTAATTAAATTCTATTGGCTTTGGCGAAAATTTAATTTTACGAATTTATCTTGTCAAAAATATTTTGCAATTTATGGCGAATATTTAATTCTTCAAATTTATCTTGTCAAAAATGTTTTGCAATCCCATTTAAAATTCCATTTGCCGCATAAATCCCCTTTGGCAAAAATACAAAACACAAAAATAAACTTTAGTTTTTAGAGAGAAATACAGGCTGACATGTGGATTTTCCATTTAGAATTTCATTTATGCTTCATGGAATTTTTTTCTGGATGCCGGATTCTGCAATTGAAGCCTCCCAAAGGCAAAAAAGTGCACTGATGATTTATTTATGCAGCAAGCTAGGCACAACACACAAAAGGGGCAAAAATTGATTTCTGCATTCTACAAATTTATTGCTAAAAAATGTATTTATCAACAAAACTTTTGGAGCAACTGGCAAAGGCAAACAAAGTCCCTGGTATTAATGGAATATTGCCGAAAATTCTGCAGAAAAGCGCATGCAAACAAAAACATCCTGTGTGAGCTCAGAAAAATCGTTCAACAAAAACTTTCAAAGGGGAAACATGTTCTCGCCAGTAAAAAAGGGAATTAAATTTTTGCTCCTTTTATTATTTTATGCTGCTGCTGCAGTTTGCTGATTGTTTATCTAAAGCATTGCGGGGTTTGGCTTGTGTGGAACTGCAGTATTTTCTGCCACGCCCCAAAAAAAACCGGAGGAAATGAAGTTTTTAGCCAACACACAGAGAGGCAGAGATAGAGAGCGGGATAGAATAACGTTGAAAAATCGAAATTATATTAGAGAACAGAGCAAAAACCGGAAATGGGTAAAAGAGGAAAAGAGCCCAAAACACACACATCAGAGAATTGGGCAAAAAATGTGCATGGACAGAGGTTAACCCATAGGGAGAGAGGTTCCTTTAGGGAAGATAATACATATAGAAGATATAGATTCTATAGCATTGGTGTAAGAATTACTAAATAAAGGAAAAAACTTTATATTATATATATTTTATACATATTTTTAAAAATATTTTTTTCTATAAAAGGCATATAAATTCCTTAGTTTGAACTTTATATCCTACTATATTTTAGTTTAAGGGATATAACTATTTTCTTAGGATTCCTAAAATGTTTTAAAAATTTATTCCAAAAAAGAATGCATTGCAATGACATTCTCCATTGAAAACTAAAATTTTAAACATTTCCGCTAAACAATTTCAAAAAGTTTTCCCTGGACATCATGCACTGGCAAAGCTCGACCCCTAAAAATGGGTGGAAACTCTGCATGGAACCAATGCAGTGGGGCTGCCAGAAGGGACTCCTCAGCCATGCGGGTGCAAAAAACCAAACTCGAGCCTCCGTTTGCTCGGACTCGGGTCGTGTCCAAATTAAACTTCATCATCGTGTCACAGGACAAAACAAAAGCAAAGGCTCTGGGACTCTCCTCCGTCCGAGTTTGTTGGGAATTTTTTGTAAAAATTGCATAGCTCCTCCGCTCTCCTCTGATGCCATCTCTCTCCCAGTTTTACGCTAGCCTGGACTGCAGAAATTGGCAGCAAAAATATAAAATGGGAACGGGCGCAGGAAAAAAAGAAATCAGGAATTATTGTAGATTGCACAGGACTCGTAGGACCCAGGACCTAAAAGTCTGACTGACCAGCATGCAACCACCCCGAAAAGGAGGGAAAACTCCAAGCAGGGGTAGAAGGAGGTGGAGCTGGAGGTCTGGGGCGCCATGCAAAAGAGAGCAAGTGAAGTGCATAAATGGATTTTATAACGTTCCTGGGCCTGGGCTAAAGTAAATTTATGCTTTTTAATGCAATTGCAGGACGAGCAGACCGTAAGAGTGTGCGGGTGTGCAGAATGGGTGTTACGATTGGTGGGGTGTGCTTGTGCTTGTGCTTTCCATTCACTCCGTATCATAGGCCATGCCATGCTCCGCTGCTCTTGGTCCTGGCTAAAAGCATTCAACCAGCTCAGCTCCCAAACAACAAAAAAAAAAATAATAATAAAGGTCCACACCCAAACTGCTCTCTCTCTCTTTTTCTGCAAAATGGTTGCAATGGTCGGATGTCGTCGACGTCGCCATCGGCCAGACAAAGTGACATTTGTCGTTAATTGCAAAATTTATGGTCAGGAATCGCAGAAGAAGGCGGTGGGTTGGTGAGGGAGAAAACCCCGCTGAGCTGAGCCAAGCGCATGGAAATGGAAAATGCCTCAAGGGGGTACTACTATGCTGGAGTTAAATGCAAAACAAATACGACAGCGAAAAAAAAATATTAAATGCGCTATAGAAATGAGAATTTTTATGCAATTATGACTTGGTTTAGGAACTTACGTTAAACTAGACGACGGCCTAATTAGTTTGAATAAAGGTAAAGCTGCTTACCTGCAAGAAAAATAGAGAAAAGGGATTAATATATGTGAAAAAGTAGGGTATATATGAATGGGAATTATAAAATAAACCTAAACTCTTTAATGAAATAAACTAATCAGTATTTTTCAAGAACAACTGATGATAATTTTATGTAATCATCCCTTTATTATTGTTTTATGTTAGAAAAACTTCAATTTTTTAACATTTTTTCTTAAACCTTTTTTAAGCCTCTAGTTAAAGCCTAGTCCTATTGATTTCCCCTCGTATTTTCCCCATTTCCAATTAACTGAATTCTGGACAAAATGCAATTCGACCAAGCAACTGTTTTTTACACAAACACCAATATACTCTTCTAATGAACTTAGTTCATCCAACCAAACAGTAAAAAAAAAAATGGGTGATAAAATGGAAACAAAAAATAAAACCCAGCGATGTTGCCGCTTTGCACATGCGACGTTGCTTTCGACTGCATTTCCCTCGTAATTAGTGTGGGCAACTAGGTGGCCCCGTCGCTCTGCTGCGGCGGTTGTGATGGCTCCAACACCTCGTTCCAAACCCTCCACTGTCTATCAGCCGTGCAGCCATGTGTGCAGCTAACCCTTTTTCGGCCCATCCACTGGCATCGAGTGCACTTCAAAGTAGCAATTCAATTTCATGGTTGCGACCCCCCACCCACCACCAACAACTTCCTAAAAAACCCAAAAGAAAAAAGAGAAGAAAAATTGACTCCCTTTTTCTGTGTAAATCACGTCCATAAAATTGTTGCACTCGAGTTGTTGCATTTTAATTAGACCAAAACAAAAAAAAAACTGAAATACAGTAGAGAAGATTCGTCACTGCAGGCGGTCGGTTTTGTGTCTTGAATGTGTTTTATCAGCGGTCATCGCAACGTAAATGAAACACCTTGCACAAGAGCGAGAATCACCCACGCATAACGCCAAATGAAGACCTCTGGGAAAAGTCTGGGAAACTGCATAAATTAAGCTCTGGCAAGTGCAAGACTTGCGTAAATGCATTTTTACATTGTTTAGGCAGTAAAAAATGTTAGGGGGGGATAAGCATATAGCCAAAAGTGTGACTTACAGCCATATGAGTCAGCGAAGCGTATGCTACTAGAAGACAATGCCAGTCGACTGAGTCAAAGTAGATATAGCGTGACTTTTGGGGGTGAAAATATAGCTTGAAAGAAAACTTTATAGATGCATCCACCAAATGCAATCATCTTTCCGAATAAAAAGAGAAGAAACGATTAAAGAACTTTAACTTTTACTGTTGTTGTCCTGTTAACGTTTCTTTAGAGAGGAAAATTGCCATTTTACAATAATTCGGTTTCTTAAAAACGCATCCAAAAGCTACCACTAAGAATAATGTAAAAGATACAAATGTATCTACCAGTAAGAATATTTTAAAAGATACAAATGTATCTAACAGAAAAAATAATTTAAAGGATACAAATGTATCTGAAAACCCTATTTCGAGAGAAAATACACAAAAAATAATAATTTATATTGTTATTAATTTGTAAACATTTTTATTTAAACTTATTACTCTCCTCAACTGAAGATCTTCTTCACTTCCACTTCCTCTTTTAGACCCAAACACAAGAACCCACCACTTGACAACGGAATTACCTGCTCTTCAGTGATTATTTTCCCATCGAGCCAAGTGCATCATCATACTTGGACCAATCCAAAGTTCTGCATATCAAACGAACCAGAAAAAGCCAAAGAAGAGGCAACAAAGAAACACACACACACATACACAGAAGAATACATAAAAGCGACAAACAAAATCAAAAAATTAACCACAAGGAAAGAGGAGGAAAAAAGGAACGCCCTCGAAGGGCTAACGGTAAATGCTGCATATGTGTTCTGCTTCTCTCTCCGCCCTTTCCCTCCCACTCCCTCACGCTGTCTTTGGGAACCCTTTTTTTCGCTGCTCGCTTTCTTTGTTCCTTCTTCCACTTGAGTTCGCTTTGTTTTAACGGAAGCTGCTGCTGTTGTTGTTGTTTTTATGCTTTTTAATTTCCTTAACCATTTTTCTTTTGTGCTTTTTGTTCCACTTCTCTTTTCCCCCCCCTTTATTGTTTTCTCTCGCCGAGTGCACTCCAACAGCGTCTTTGAGAGCGAGCTGGAGTTGGAGAGATGTGAGGAAAAGCCAAAGGAAGAGGAAGTAGTAGAGGTGGAAACGCATAAAAAAAATGTCATGAGGAGGAAAAGCAAAACAAAAAAAGTGTAATAATAACAAACAAACACAACATCTCGTGCGGCAGAGACAGTTACAGATTTGTACGGATTGGGGGGCAATTTACAGGAATTATTTACGTTCGGCTGCATGTGTCTCCTCTGAGAGAGTGTCGTTGGAGTGTGTTTGCTTGGGCTGCCCGTAATATGCGTGTATTTTGTATACTTGACGTAATTAGCCGTTATTAAAAAGAAATTGGGGGAGCAGAAAGGTTCTGCAATTAAATAATCATTTCTGTACCGTTCTTTGGGTGTTGGTCTTTCTTTTACTTTGCTGCACGCAAAGGGTTAGAGTAAGATGGAAATTATGTCAACGTTGCATTTCAATGGAGCTTGAAAAAATGCAGGAGGGTTGGGTATACAATGCAGTTAATCATAGTAACTATACTTTATGGGATCTCGATGGGATCTTATTAAATTAAATGGAGCTCGGGAACGAAGTGATTATGTGGAAATAGGAAGTGTTTATATTTCCAAAAAATTTTATTTTAATTTTTAGAAATATTTTAGATTATAACCATTGATCCTGGCTAAACTATGCGAATATTTTTCGTACAAGATTTTTTTAAAAATCTTCCAAAAAGTAATACTATAGAAAATAATATTTTTAGTCCATCATTTACTATTCGATTAGAACCCCTGATCTCAGCGATCCCTTGGATGCTAATCTGTATCTCGTAGCTGATCATCTCATCGTAAAGCTTCTGTCGCAATGTGCGTGGCGCCTAGAAAAGCTTTAGAAAAGTGCGTGCCAAAAAGCTTTGGGCCCCAATCCACCCATCTCACTTGCTCTCCCTGCAGTGGACTTGTAGTTTTTTGTTGCTGCTGCTGCTTCTGCTGAAACCATTTTTAGACTTCCTCGTTTTGTTGTTGGATTTGCAGTGTAGTGGAGCACAGGAAGGGAGCTTTTTTGATTTCATGATTTTTGGCTCGCTTTTTTGTCGGTTGGCTGCTAGTCTGATATTTATTGCGCGTGAATGTCATTTGAAAAGCTCTACGCACTGCAAAAGCCTATGTGTGAGCGTGTGTGTATAAATTTGATTGTGTGCGTCTACGCACATTTTTAATTATGTTGTGCCAGCTCAAGGTTTTTTCTATCGCTGCTGCTTGCTGCCTGCTGCTGTTTTATTTCGCTTTTCGCTCTTTTTTTTCGTCGTATTTTATTTTTTGTTGCTGTGCAGGCCACCCGAAATTATTTATTTCGGTTGCTGCTGCCCCCTTACGCACTTTGAGCCAATTTAATTGTAGGCCACGCATTTGTTCGCTCTGTGTAGCTCTTATATACACAGTAACGATCAATATAATAGCACCAACTAATAAACTAATAATATAGACTTAGTATATGTATACCACTGAATATTTGTTTTAAACTTTAAGATTTCATGGAAGAATATATAATAATTTATACATTTTAAGGTTTTTATGCTATTAATTTTAGAGCATATGTCTATATTAATTTTTGGATGCGACTTTTATTTTGCAGAGAGTGAGAGAGCGAGCAAGTGGGAGCAGTATGGCTGGATAGCTTGACAAGTGTAGTACATAGGCCTATGTATGTTTTTTATTTCTTTGTTTGCTTGTACATAGCAACTTCGATTCGCTTTTTTTCCTTGCTTTGCGCTTTGTGCTTTTTTGTAATTTTGTCTAATTTTTTTTTTATTTATTTGTTGCGCCCTTTTGCATGTGTGTGAGTGTATGTTAGTGCGTGTGTTCATTTCGCTCTAGAATTATCAGCATTCGATTTTAGGCTGTGTGATGTAATATGTAGACTCTGGAATTCACAGCAACAAATTCTGCTGCCTGCAATTTTATAAAATTTTGATTGCTTATTTTATTCATTTAAGAAGGCTGAATTTCGTAACAAGATACCAAATGTCATTGATTCTATTTTATTAAAAATATTTACTTTACAACCACATCAAACTTTTTGAATTAAAATCCAAGATAATTATAAAAAGTTATTTAATTTTACATATATTAGTATTAAAGAACAACATTTATACATACTTATAAATTTAAAATTTTTAATATGTTTAAAACCCTTTTTCCACAATATTTAATTCACTTTTATCCCTTTTCCCAGCTGTCTAATATTTCATGTCTCTTGCAATATTGCATATCCAATCAAAAGACCACAAGTCATTTTTTAGAACAAAAAAAAAAAAAAAAAACACATTGCAATCTGCTACAACCCTTTTTACAAAACACACCCACACTCATAAATTTAACTGAAACTTTACACATTCCAACTGTTCAATGCAGATAAACCAAAGCACTGCAGAGAGAGCGAGAGAAAGAGACAGTAGTGGGAATGGGAGAGGCAGACAAAGATGTCCGCCCATGAAATGCGTTTTCTATTTGTGCAAACTATTGCGGCGGCCATTGCAAAACATACACGGATACATACGCATACACCCACTCACACATAGACGAACGCTTGCATGCAAAAGTTTAGGTTTTTTTATATTGCGTGCGTTTGTATGTGTGTGTGGCGAAGTGGAGCAAAAGGCAACTGGCAATTAGCAACTGGGGAATGGACAGAAAAAAATAAACCTAACAAAACTAGCGAAAACGGCAGAAAAAAAAAACGGAATTGAGTTTGCCAAACCCCAATACCCATTGCATGTACAGCCATAGGCATACTATTAGGTTTTATTAACAGAAATGGATTTAATATAATATTTATAATTTTATTTTTTTTTTAATTTCAGAAAAATATGTAGCAGGTTAATCTAATTTTTATTGTTTATGTATTTATTTTTATTAAAAAGCATTACATTTTTGCCAGCGGCTGTAGCCCCAAAATATATATATGTAAGCTTTAATGTATGGTTGTGTGTGCACTCTCCCACTATCTCGTTCGCTCTCCCGATAGGCCTATGCTCATGTGGTCGGCCTCTCAGTCGCTCTCGTCTCGCCCTATGAATAGTCAACATTTAAGTGCCATGGAAACGCACAACGAGGAAGCTAGCGGAAGACGCATAGATAGAGCAAAAAAAAAAGAATATACATATTGTCACTTTGACTGACACTGACAGGTTTTTCGCCCCACCACGCCTCTAACCCCTTTTATGGCCCCAGCACAACACCCCACCTCCTGCACTCCGTCAAATTTTGCAGCCTAGAAAAACTACTCCGTTTTTTTGATAAGCCTAATTAGCAGTTCATAAAAGCGATTATTTCATATGAATTTTTATGATCAAGTCTCGTGTAAGTTTCATTTTTTTTGCCTAACATGTTCAACTCTATTGCAAGTGCGTGTGTCTTGGCCTTAATGGTTCATAAAATTATAAAAACAAAGTTAAGGTATACAACAATTACAACTTTCATGATATTTGTGGAATTTGCATAGACATTACTTGTGTTTTATGCCTTAGAAACTATTTAGCATATTATACATGTATCTTATAGATATCAAAGTATTGCCCGTATTATTCCCAAGATTCCTAGAGCTTTTATGGATATTTAATAAATGCTTCTTAATGAGAAACAATTTCTAAAATATTTAATAAAAAATTACTTTAAACAAAAGAAACTCAATGCCTTTGTGGGACAATTTCTTGCAACGCCTTTGCTCGCTTTCTTGGTAAACGTTCGCATTAAAATTCAAACAACTGCAGTGGCAAGTCATAAAATTTAAACAATTTCAAGACAAGAACTGAAATGCGTTCGTCTTTAGGTGGAAAGGGGGGCCTAAGAGCATATCATAGACACTTTGCGCAAGTGCCGACACACACCACCAACAACAACAACAAATAATATAAAAAAAAACGAAGAAAATAATGAAGTTGGTTGCATTGCGTCAGTTACGACATAAGAAGCCGCGCAGTCTGCTCCAAAGATCAGGTACTGCAGCAAGTGCAAGCGAGACAGCGATGCGATTCTGGGAAAAAAGTTTAACGATTGTGCAAATGCACGTGAGAAGGGCTGAGAAAGATACAAAAGTGAGAAAGAAAAAGAGCTAGACACTTCCGACAAGTAAAATGCAGTCGACGACAAACCCAAAAAAAAAAAAAAAGAGCCAAGCCAAGCCAAGACAAACATTACAGAGAAAAAAAGAGGATATTTTATAGAAGATAACAATTTCAAGATACTTTTAAAAAATAACATAATATTTATTATTATTTGTATATAAAGATGTATTGTAATATATACAATATAATAAAATATTCTAGTATTATTTAATTTTATTTATTTATTTTTTTAAATAACTTGCTATCTAATAGATACTTTTTCAGCTTTCAGATACTTTTTCAAAATGTCATAGCTACTTTTTAAAACAAATGTATACAACCATCTAAGAATTTTAGATTTTTATAACATGTTTCTATCTAATAGATACTTTCCTTACTTTCAGATACTTTTCTAATGCAGTTTTTTAATGTAAAGAACCACCTTGTAGGCTCCCCCATAAGTCTCTGTGTATTAAAATTGGAGACCGTAGAAATAGAAGAAAAATGTGTGCATTTAATTAAATGCGGAAGACCTCCGGGCAACAAAAATAAAACAAAAACAAAGGCAACAAAAACTACAATTTTTCAAGCGCACGCAATGCGACTCCGCAACCCGTGAGAGTGCGAGCGAGAAAAAAGCGATTGAGGACGGAAAAAAAGTACACACAACGCACAAAATTTGGAACACGCTGCGCTGCTAAGTAGGTCAAAGTGGCAGCGGCGCCGGCAGAGGCAGCAACAAAGGGGGTAGGGTAGGGTGAAGGGGGGAAATATTGCGTGCCAACTGCGACGCAGTTTTTTGGCTTAGATGAAACACACCAACAATGTGCAGCAGCAGCAGCAGAGGCAGCGGCAAGAAGCAAAAGTAATATATTTTTAATTTATGCATAACCCTAAATAAGGGATGTATGTATTGTACATTGTTTATGCTCGTGTATAAGAGTACACTCGCACACATGTGAAAATGTCAACTAGGCAACTTTTGCTTTTCTTCCCGTTATTAATATGCAACGCCAAGTTGAGTGTCATAAATCATACGCAAAGTGCGTAGACAATTTTTTTCTCTCTTGACCAAAAAATGTTTTTCCTTTTTTTTTTTTTGCATAAATTATAATTGTAATTAGAGGCGGTTGTTTTTGTTGTTATATTTGTTGCCAGTAATTGTTTGCAAATGTTTGTGGACACTTTCTAAAAACACATTTTTCATTTTTACGCAGTTTTTCGTGCGTGCTTGAACTTTTTTTTTGGGGGGGGAACACGTTGAGAGGCCATTAAGGAACTAAGGAAAGTTGCATGAAAAAGTAAATTAAGACTTATTTATTATTATTTATTATGCTTAATTTTTTTTATATAACCAATTATAAAGTTTTTGTAGTTGTGAAAAGTTTAGTTAAAAAAATAAATTTGTGAGATTTACTAATTAATTATTTTCATTTAAAAAAATATAGTTACTTTATAATTCCTAAGAACAAACCCCTTCTTAAATATGAAAATCAAAACTCACCTTAATATCCAATTGCAAATTTTCGCTCTAATCCAAATCCAGAATCCTGTCTCAGTTGTAAAACTTTTCACAGTTATTAATTTTGAATTTTATTCTGTTTTTTAGTCACTGCACTTTTTTTTGTTGCATGCACTTGGGCCAAACGTTTATGTTCTTTATTTTTATATTTTTCTTGTTTAGTTTTGGATGCTAATTAATTAAGTATACTCTTTTGTTTATCAAAAATTGTTTACCAAATATTCTTCGATATAATTTGTAAGCATAGATATATGTATAGGTATATGTATATTATGTTTTATAAATACATGTATTACGATTCGTATTTTTTTGTTTTGTTTAATATTTTTGCTTTGCTTTTTTTGTTATCGAAACGAAATTTTTATGCAAACTAACACACACGTTCTCTGCTGCTGCGCTGCTTCTGCTTCTGTTGCGATGGCGTTTACTGTAGTGATTACTGTAGTAGCTGTTGTTGTTTTTGTTGCTCAGTTGCTATGGCTGCTTTTGTTGCTGTTGTTGTTGTTGTTGTTGTTGTGTTGCTGTGTATAGTATTGCGTATGTCCGAACCAATAATTTTGAAGAGTTGACCAATTTTTGTTGGCGGTTAAATTTTTGCGGTTTTTTGCGTTTGTTCTAAAAAGATTTCCCTTGGCTTTTCAACTGATTTGTTGTTTAACTTTTGTTTGTTTACTTTATTAGACGACGGTTTTGTTGTTGTTAATTTAAAAAAGTTACATTTAATTTTTGTTAGATGTTCATCTTAGTTGCAAAATATGTTCACGTGTGGACGTTTGAGATAATCTTAACTTGTCATAAATTACTTTTTTATTTGTTGCACGCAGCTTTTGCCAAAAATCGTTTTTTGTTAATTTATTAAATTTTTGTTGTGTTTATTTTGATTTAAGACCAAAAATGATGTTTGCCAATTTTATAATTTTGCGTTGTTTTTCGAAAAAGTGTTTGTTTTCAATTCATTTTACATTGAGTTTTGTATAATTTCGCGAAATTATTTGTAATTTAAGAATTTTTGCTTAGACAGTTAAATGTTCAAAATATTTAACTTGATTAGCATTTCTTAGCATTCGCCGGTATTGTTGTCGTTGAATGTTTATCGTTATGTTGTTGGAATTATTAAAATCGGTGTTTTGATTAGTTTGTTGAGGCATTTTCACAGTGACATTTGGCTGTAAGTAGAAAGAAGCGATAGGGGAAATTATTTAGTTAAGCTTACCCAGTGTAGATTTTAGAATAAACATGTTTTTTTTGGATTTTTCTTAATAATTTAATGCTGATTATACATCAATGTTTTTCTGACTTTACTTATTTAAATTGAAATAAATCAATAAATTTATTATTGATGACTTATAATGAAGCAAATAAATATTTCTCAGAAATCCATTGAACGCACTTGTTCCACTTAAAAATTGTTTGGTCTTTGGAAAGTATGCTTATGCTCTGGTTTTTGGGGTTTCTTATCAGCTAACGAGTCGTTAAGTGAATTGCATAAATGGTTTTATTATCGGAGCATATTTGGTTTTCATATTTCAATTCCCACTTGGCTTCTGGCAAATGTATTTTATTCGATGAATTCAAAAAAAGCCATTATTCTTGGGGTTGGGGTTGCGATTTTGACTTTTGGGACAGTTTTGGAATGATTCAGGCGTATCATATGTTGGGAATTTTTTCTATTTACTCAAGAAACACAATTCTTCTTTATTTCTAAGGTTTTAAAAAATTGTATGTCATTTGAGAAAATTTAAAATAATAGCTACATAATTTAAATTTTGTAATAGCTACAAATACAGAAAAAAAAACTATTTTCCCCATTTTTATAATAATCTATAAGATATTGTATCTTACAGTTCCCTCTCTTATGGGGGTTTTCTTAAGATTTAACAACAACATTTTTTACACTTTTCACATTTATTTTACAGTTTTTAACGTTTTTTAGTTGTTTTGCTTTGCAGTTTTTCTTCATTTCATGTTTTTCTATCCTTTTTTTTTTTGTAGCAAGTGTCCTGGATTAATTGCATTCCTTTTTAGCATGCACTTCTCGCACTTTTCTTCTCACACACTCTCCATGTTTCTTTCTCTCCGTCATTCTCACACTAACACACAGGAACACACAGTGCAAAAAAGGGGTTCAGTTCACTGGGATTGCGCCTTGTTTATTTTCAGGGGGGTGGCGGGGTGAACGGGGAGGGTTGTTTATTGTTCCTGCTGTTGTTGCTGCTATTTCCATTGTTGTTGTTGCTGCCTCGATTAAAAATGCAGACGTTTTCGTTATGCATAAAAAAGTTTTCGCTTCACTTTTTCCCAGTTTGCTTTGCGTTTTCGCCGTTTGCCTCGAGATCCCGTTTTATGCTGCGTTTTTTACCGTTCCAAAACGCACACACCCCAAAATGAATGGGTGTATGTGTGTGTGTGTTTTGTGGAAATCAAATACACGCATACACATAGGCACATTTATACACATTTACGCACTTTTTGCCTTAGAGAATTGGTTAGGGGAATTGCAATTGTCCTTTTATGATTTTCTCTCTCTTTGAATTCGTTTTTCATTTTCACTTTTTATTTTTTTTATTCAGACTTGTAATTCATAAATATTCTAGTATTACTAAGTATATTATTTTTAACTGCAATTTACCTTCAATCACTTGTCGAAAAACAGTTTTGAAACACTCACGATCGACGTACACACACGCACACGCAAAGCTCGAGGACACTGGGACAGTTATTTTTTGCGTTTGCCCATTGAACACAAACAAAACTTAAATAATAATTAAAAAGTCTCCAAATTCCGCAAATCTTTTGCACTTTTCCTTTGCCGTTGCATTGACTGCACTTTTAATATGAAATAAATTAGGAATACAGTTTGTGTTTTTTTTTTTCGACAAAGCGGCTGTTCGATTTTCGTTAGATATTTTTTTTTATTCTCGAAAATTTGCAATTTAGCAATTTAGTTTTCAAAATTTGAGTGCACGAGAGATGAGAGACGATATGCACACCGTCTGCTGGCTGCGAGCTGCGAGCACCGAAAACCACCGAAACCTAGGGCCGAATAGATTCGAAAATTTCGTTTATGGCCTATCAGCCGGCCACGGTTGCGAGCGGCGACGCCGACTGCAGCAGCGACCGAGGCAGCGACGCAGCGAAGAGACCAAAGTCACCCCCACAGTCGCAAAGTCGCAAGCACAAACACAAAGCAGCAACAGTCGGCGAGCAGAGAGAAGAGTGAGAGTAAAAACGCAGCAAGCAGCCGCTCTCTGAGGACAGTGGAGCAAAATTAAAAACATATATTAATTTAAGACAAGTATGTAGGTAAGGGTAGGGTATTAGTTTAATATTGGGTATTAGTCGATATTAATTTACCTTTAACTGAAATTTGCGTACATAAAGGTTTGCTTACAGCTTAGCTATAATACCCTAATAATCTATTGGTACCAGTTGAAGACCAGGTGTAATAAAACAAATCAACCATCTTGTCAAAAAAGATGCTGGTCAAATGTTTTATTCCAAGTATATCGACTTGCCCCACTGTGCATAGAGTGCCCCAAGAACAACAAAACAAGTTTTGTGCTGCGTGCTTTTTCGCCTCAGTTGGGGCTTGTAGTTGAATTGTTGTTTTTGTTTTTCGCTGCTGCCAGAGAGTGCGCCCATTTTGCATTGGTCGACGTCGACGTCGCCCCCACAAATATACGTGTGTGTGTATGTGTCTTTGTTTTTTATCTGACTTTGCCGCTCATTGCAAATGCAAAAGTTTTGCAGTAGTATGCGGCAGAGAGTAAGCAAGAGAGAGGAGAGCGGTTCTCGCTCTCAGATAGACAACCACTTGGCGCTATTAATCCAATTGGAATGCAGGCGCGCAGCTTGCAATTGCCGAATTGTAGGACATTTCTTATAAGAAAATGTAATCCTGGAACAGGAAATTCAATAAATTATTTATTTATTTTTGAAATAAAGAATTTAACAAAAAACTCAAAAGTAGCTGTCAAGTAATTTCGGATGCAATACTGCCTTTGCATTCACCTTATTTTGTGTGTGTATGCGTGGATCAAAATCACAAATATCCCTTTTGCCTTTATCCTTTCTCCGGGGGTGAGTTTCTCTCTCGCGCTCGCTAGCTGCTCCTGCCCCCCGTCCACGCTCTGCAGGCGGAATTGCATAAGGCGAGAAAGGACATGCGGTAATAATAGTTAGGAGCTCCGCTCAAGTGGAAAATGCTTAGGGAAATCGAGAATCTCGACCAGAAATAGCAAACGCGAACTTGGTCTTAACCACATTTCCGAAGCAGCGGGGGATTTCTGCGATTCTAGATTTCTATTTCCAGTCTCTCAACTCTAGGATGCAAAATAGCTCAACCCTGCGCTTACACAGTGGGAAAAATAATAATAATAAAGAGAAAATAAATATACAAAACTGGAAATCTATTTAAAAATTTTTTATAAGAAAGGTAAGATAGTAACAATTAATATTTTTTTCATATTAGTTTCCGGTATTATCATCTAAACTAAAACTAGCCTATTATTATTAAGGTGTTTTTGTTTGTTTATATGAATTTATAATTCTCTGTGTAGAATGTGCAATAGCTCAACCCTGCGCTTCAAAAAGTACTTAAGGATCGAGGACATGGACAAGCCAAATCAAGTGAGTTGGAATGGGGATTAGAGAGAAAAGGATTCATCCTGGGATATACAGATTTTAATTGCGTGTACTGAATTTTTTCCCTAAATTAACTGTCATATGCTAATTTCATAACAAAACTGGTTATATCAAAGCCATTAATAAAAGTAATTTTATATCAATAATAAAAAAAAGTTAGAGTTTTACCAAATTAAGGCTTTTCTTTAGTTTTTTTATTCAATTTGAAAATTATACTTTTACAATGAATTGCCATTCAACATTTTTATGTTCTTTATGATATGTTATCCTGTTTATAAAATACAATGCATTTATAATTATCCAAAATAAGGTTGCAGCAGACCCTCCTAGTAATTTGCATTTCTATCAAAATCCTCTCAATTGAGTCCTGTAAAATCTAGGAAAAACCCTTAAAATAACATCGTTTTTTGACCCAAAATCCTACCCTTTTCCCACAAAGTGTCAAAACTATCCCGTTTTTGGAATGCACTTCCATCACGAAAATATCAAATTGCGGGACAATCGAGACAATTAATATACAATAAACTATTCCTTTATTTCGATTAATTAAAAGTTTATTCAAAGACAGACAAAAGGCAGAAAAACTCTCAAAGGCAAAGCCAAAAGCGCAAACACAAAAAGAAAATACACAAAAAAAACTGACCCTGTTGAAGAATACTCGTTTTGTGTTTTGCTTTTTCCTCTCCTGCGCTTGTTCCAATGGCAAAAATAGAAAAACAAGGAATGCTTCAATAACAACAATAACAATGCGCATTCATTTTGCAGTGCGAGCAAGAGAGTGGTGAGAGCAAGAAACAATGCTCTCAGAGAGCTAAGCTTTGGCGGCAGCGGAGCGGCAGAACTTCCCCAAGTTCCCCTTCCATAGAACGGAGAGCGCATGTCGGCAGCAGCGCTGCTGCCGCTGCCATTTTATGCACACAATGACAATGAAAGCTTGTGGGGCGGCGCAAGGCTTGGGGAGGGTGAGGGGCCCCGAAAATTTACGCAATTCATGAAACACGTGGAGCGACGACTGCGCTGCCGGCGCCGCTGCTCTTATGCTGCTGCTCAGAAATCCAATAAGCAAAAGCTTTTGCCGCGCGCACACCAATGCAGCACCCGCTTATATGCCTCCGTGTGCATACTGGATGCGCGCGTGTGTGTGTGTGAGTATCAGGCGTATGCGTGTATTGCGTATTTTTGGCAGCATTCAATGGCCGCTCTGCTGCCGCCAGCAGCGACGCATATCGCAGGGACGGATTCAGATGGGGATTCAAGTTTCGGTTTCCGATTAGGATTGCAGGGCAATTAATACCGAAATTGATTGTGGCGGATTTTAGCCGTAGGCGTATACTTTATTAATTACAGAAATGGAATTCTTACGAGAAGTTGGGGAACAGGAAACTATATTTATTAAATAGTATATAAATTAGTTGATTTTTAGAACACATATTTTTTTGTGAAGTTCGGAAACAGGAAGAAAATAATATATACTTCATTTTTAAGATAACCTTAAAATACAATAATTTAATATCTAAAAGCATTAAAATGCTTAAACGAAATATTATTTGTAATCAATAATTATTCTAACTCGAGTGTTTTGACAGTCTTCAGTAATCATTAATGTAGAAACCCCCTTTCCAGTCTTTAAATATTCGCTGCATTCTTTTGGTTGGGCTTAACCTCCTTCCAGTTTTATCTATCCCCCAAATCCACCCCCAAGCATCCGCCCCTGGGTTTTTATGTATTTCCTTTTTTCGCTTTTGCAGTGCTGCACGCACTTTTTGGGCCGTCTTTTCCTCCTCCCCCCCCTTCAGACTTCGTCACTGAACTTTTCGCTTAGCTACACACTTTTTTGGCCCAACATTGTTGTTGTGGGTGGCCCAAGAGGAGTGGAGAGGAGAGGAGTGGGTGGGGGGCTGTTGTGCGTTATATGCTCCACTTTTTGGGCCCCCCAAATTCTGTTTTTCGAACGCACTTTTGCAGCTTGCGTTTGTATGCTTTTAGTATATACGGGGTATGTGAGTGCGGCGCGTGCGTATGTATGTGTGTGTTGTATTTGTGTGTTTGCATTGGTGTGCGCGCATTTTTGGGTGTGCGTTTTTTGGTATTTCGTGAAATTTTAGCATTTATTTGTTATGTACTCAAAACTGACGTCGCTGCAGAGCGCAACTGCTACTGCGCTGCTGCTTCTCTGCTGCTGCTGCTGTTGCTGCTGCTGCTTCCTCCTCTTCTTCTTTTTCCACCATTCCTCTCTTTTGCTTTTTGCTCAGAGTGCGTGAGTGCGTAGGCTCGCCTATGTACACTATTTGGCAATTACAGTCGGCTCTATACATATACACACTTGCACATCTATCGCATACTTGTGTATGTATGTATGTATGTATATTTGTTTTGTACATAAATATGTTTGCTTGTTTGTGCTTTTCGCTTTGGCGTTTGGGGCTCTTGTTTTTTTTAACAATATGCCCCGCCAAAAAAAAAAAAAGTAAGATTTTATGTGTGTACACTGCATTTTTATGTTTAAGCAGAGGGTATAAACTTTTTAGTATAAAAAAAAAACACCAGGCAGGGTCTACTATTTGAAAGGATGTTTATGGGTTACTGGAGAGTGTACCAAATACTAGAAGGATCTGTCTTATATATAAAAAAGTGTCTTGAATTACAGAAAATATAGACCAAACTTGTAGTATTTTAGATATTTTAATATTACCTTATTTTATAAATCATAAAAATAAACTAGATTAAAAGAAAATTCTTAAAAGGTGGTAAGGTGGCTTACTTTGTTTTTTAAATATTTATTAATGAATTTTATTTAACTTGTTGTAGAAAATCAAGTGTTTTAATTAGGTTATTTCACTTTCAATTTCCCATATATGGCATATTTGGATTGGCATTTGTGTTTGTAATGCCTCTCGTCAATACAAACAAACAAACGAATGCTCACACACTGGCTTCGCTTTTCATGGACATCCCACCCACTTCAACGCAACCGCCTCCCCCACCTCCTTTCACACCCCATACCCTCCTCCTGCTCACCCCCTTCCGCATCACCATATCAATGTTGTTGCGTTGCGTTTTCAGATAAGATGATATCATTTGTTTTTGTAGCATTCGCCAGCATTTCGTCTGTGTGTGCGTGTGTATTTAACGTATTTGTGTGTGTGAGTGCGTATGGGAGTGTTTGTTTGTTTTTGGTGTATTTTTTTTAATGTTAAAAATTAGAATTCTCGATTTTGGCGCATGCATTGAGTGCGCTTTATGCTTTATGTTTTTCTAAATGTTATTCTTCAGCTCGACTTCTCTTGGTTTGCTGTACTTTATTTTTATTCCGAAAATTTTGATCAATAAATAAACAATGCGTTTTATTTGTTCAAGGGTTTTTAAGTTCAATATTAGACGTTCCATAAAATCAGCATTAAAATTGGACTTCAAAGATAAAGTAGTAAGAATTAAAGGAAAAGGTAAGATACTAAAGAATTCCTAGCTCATGTAAAAGAAAATTCTGTGACGCAGTCCAAAAAACTCGTTTCACACACCGAAATTTATTGCGTATTTTTTAAAAGCTTCTTTCACTCATTGAAACCTCCTTTTATTCATTCAAAAGTAAGGCGAAAATAAGCGAATGAGAGAACAACAATGTGGAGCGATGTGAAGACAGACAACAAAAGATAAAAAAGGGTTTCAAGGACATTTTACAAATAATTTTTACTACCTTACAAGCCGAGCCAAAAAGGGGAGGTCGTCGTCGAAAACGGGGGGAAATCCCCGGCTAATGTAATAATTTTTGCGCTTGTCCTTTGTAAA